GGTTTGAGAAGTCCGTGAAAATATTTATAGTGATTTAAATTTCCCAGGAAGAACTAATTCCTCTCTCTATTGACTGAATGGTTGAGGTCATATTGAGATGAAGAATAGCCATATTTAATGTGTACTAAAACCATTTCATGTCATCATAGTTTGCTCTCTCAATGACCATGTGAAGTTCTGAGCAAGCATAAGCCACATCCATAAAACATCCTCTGCTGATTGATTCCCAATTACAATTACTTTGAAGTGAAATAAGAACTTAAGGATGCTTGCAAAGCAATCTGTGTGAAGAAATCTCCTAATCTACAAATTCTCCCCAGTTATTCAATTGTCTTGCCCACAGCTAATCTGATGGCAGTGTGTTTTAGTGATTATCTTTGAAGAATCTTTCCCAAGCTAAAAATTCATCATTAGCATCATTAAGCTATCAAATTCATTATTCATTATAAGGAATAAAGCTACTTTCTGGTTGTACTCAGATTTATTTAGTTAACATAATATTTAATTCACTTGTGTAATTGTAGAGGTAAACAAACCTGTAACTACTATGCATCAATATCCTAATAGAAGGAGCAAACATGCAAAGGATGTACTAGGGAGGGGCCAGTAGCCTCTAGATTTCAGCTACTCGTAGGTATTAGTCAATACATCTTACAGGGGGAAAAAGAGTGACAGCTAATTCAGTGAACTGACAGTGGAAATCTGACTTTAAAGATCTTTATTGTATCCCCAACTTACAGTTGGAGAAACTGAGGTACTAAAAATTTCAGTAACCTAATTAGCATCCCAAATCTGGTAAAAATCCTTAAAGGATACACAGGAAACATGACTATGTGGAAATTCTAAGCATTATGTAGAAAGTAGCAGAGTAAAAATGACCAATTACATTCCAGCGAATATTGGATGTGCTGGAAGTATGCAGGGATGGTTAAAATAGGACTCGAGGAAGCCTTTTCCAAAAGAGGAATGCTTAAGTTGAAGGGCAAACCAACCAGACAGAAGAGAGACAGAGGCCCCAGGGTGTGAAGGTTCCTGGGTCAAAGGCAATGAGGGCAGCCTGAGAAGAGAACTGCCAGTAGTTTCTAGAATAAAAGGAACATGATTAAATACAATGAGTTCAAGAGGTGAGCAGAGGCCAAATACAAAGACTATGATATGGTAGAGAAATTAAACTTTACTCTGAGAACAGTGGGGATTAAGCATTTGAGTCCCAGGCTCAGATTTGAGCTTTTGGTTTATCACATGAGTGCACTGTGGAGAAAAGGACTGCAAGGCCAGACGGGAAGGAGGCTGTAGCAGTAATCCGAGCAAGAGCTGATGATGGTGGTCTGAGTTGGCGTTGCATCTATGGAGACGCAGAGGAGACACACATTTAGTTACTAGCTTCTTTAGGACTTGCTAATTGAACGTAGAGGTGGTGGTGACAATGGGGCAATATTAAGGGCGAATGAGGTTTCTGGAGTAGATGTCATGTGGATAGAGGGAGGTATCATTCCTGGAGATGGTGAACTCACAAGAAAAAGGATTAAGGCTCGGGGGTGATGACATCTAATTCTACACATGTTACATTTGAACATCCAATTTGAGGTGACCTATTATGAGTGGTTGAGTAGGGAAGTCCAGAGCTTAGGAGAAAGATGTGGGCTAGAAATACGGATATGGTAAATATCAGCACATAGGTGTAAATACAATTCACGGAAAATGAAATAAGTGGAAAATGGGGAAAGAAAATGAGGGGATCCCTGGATGGCTCAGCAGTTAAGCATCTGCCTTTGGCCCAGGGCGTGATCCTGGAGTCCTGGGTTCGAGTCCCACGTCAGGCTCCCTCCATGGGGCCTGCTTCTCTCTCTGCCTATGTCTCTGCCTCTCTCTCTGTGTGTCTCATGAATAAATAAATAAAATCTTAAAAAAAAAAGAAAGAAAATGAGCCACACTTTCCCCAAATGGTAGCCCATTTCTGACTATTTCTGTCATATGGGTGATATGTCAATTAGCAAGTCACCATGCTTATCCATACAGGCATGTGTGTAATGGCATACTTTCTTTTAAAAACTTCTAGGTGCACTAAGCCTGACTTTCCTTACATGCAATAGATGGAGAAGACTAACGGGAAAACCCATAGCACAACTGTGGTGTTTCTGGACCCCTCCAAACAGGAAGAATGATCATTCAAAACCAAGGTGCAATTATTATGAATATTTCCTAATGTACATCATCAAAAAAAAGTGGTGGAGTTGACACTAACAGTGGCTGGAAGGAAGAGGATGGGATATCATATCTAAAGTGTCCTTCACCCTCGAAGTGAGTCTTTCTCTCCCACAAGGATGGGAGTGCTTCTACAGGTGATTTGCTATAGTGGAAATCAAAAAGCACTGGGATTGGAGTTAGAGTCTCCACTCTACAAACTATCTCCACTCCTCAGTAACGAACAGGAGTGCTTTGGCAGACAGCATAAGAAACAGTGACTGCAGAAGCCAAAATTTAAAACAAGCTTTCTCTTTTTACCATAAACAGGTTAGTTCCTCTGGGTCTATGTGCTCACCTGGAGGAGCAGGGTGTTCTCTGATGATGAACTCTGGGGTTTCCAATCTGTTGTGGCCCCCCATCACCTGCAAGAGTTAAGTCAGAATACGGAGTTCACTGGGGAAGTCCCATATCCCCAACTCCACCCCCATCTGCCCTGGGCCACCCCTCCCCCCCTTCCCCAAGCAGGTAAGCAGGTACTCCTAGCCTGGTAGCATTTCTCAATCAGAATTTATCATCACTCAAAGCCCAGGGAGACCATGGTCCCTACATGAATCTTTTCCTTCAAGGCCCTGCTTTTCATTTTGCCTTGAAATAACTCTCACCGGGCAGCCCCGGTAGCTCAGAGGTTTAGCACCGCCTTCGGCCCAGGGCATGATCCTGGGGTTTCAGGATCGAGTCCCACGTCAGGCTCCCTGCGTGGAGCCTGCTTCTCCCTCTGCCTGTGTCTCTGCCTCTCTCTCTCTGTGTGTCTCTCACGAATAAATAAATAAAATCTTAAAAAAAAAGAACTCTAAGTACTTTCCTTATTCCTAGCTACGGCATACACTTTATGATGGCCATCACGGTTTACTAGGTCATTGCACATACCCCCTCCCCCAGCTCTATCCAGCGCACTACAGCTGGCTGTTTGCAACGTAATATACCATTTCTGTTTACCTTTTATTGTTTTTATTTCTTGAGCTGATATATATGGCCAAAAAAAAAAAAAAGACCAGTATGCATGTTAGAACGAGTGCATTTTCACTGAAACCACTGCTTCATCTGTGGAGGGTAGGATCATGTCTGATCTTTTTTTCTTTTTAATTTGGAATTTAAAGGCTTCCCGATAGCAGAGCTCACTGGACTTCCCTCCCGCGCGCCCCGGGCCCCCCACCCCGAAGGCCGCCCCAGTATTGGTCCGGCTGTGTGCACACCCGCCTCCTCTCTTAGCTCCGTTTGATGCTGCTTCCCAGGACGCGGCGGCGACGGCGGCCCGGGGGGCGGGGAAGGGACCCTCGGGGCGGCCCTCGCGCTCGGCTCGGCTCCCCTCTGCGCGGCCGCCAGGGCTCCGAGCCCGGCCTCCCCGGGGGCGGGGCGACCCCGGCCACGCCCAGGCCACGCCCCCGAGCCGCCCCGGCCCCGCCCCCAGCCCGGCCCCGCCCCCCCGGCCCGCCGCGCCGGGGCTTCGCGCAGCGCCGAGGGGAGGAGGCGGAAAAGTTTGTTCGCGGGCGAGCGGGGCTTGTGCGCGTCGACGCTGCCCGCGGCCCTGTGCGCTCTCCGGCTCCGGCTCCGGCTGCGGCTCCGGCTGCGGCTCCGGTCCCGCTCCGGCTCCGGCTCCCGCTCCCGCTCCCGCTCCGGGGCGTGCACCGAGGGCTCCCTGCGGGCGGCGGAGGACGCGGGCGGCGTGTGCCGGGGCGCGGGAGGCCGCGGGCGCGCGATGGGCGGCCCGGCGGTGGCGGTGGCGCTGGCCCTGCTGCTGGGCGCGGTGCTGGGGCGCCCCGACCCGCCCCCCGGGGCCGCCGCCGCGCGCCGCTGTGCCGCTCCGTGCCGCTGCCTCGGGGACCTGCTGGACTGCAGCCGCCGGCGGCTGGCGCGCCTGCCGGAGGCGCTGCCGCCCCGGGTCGCCCGCCTGTAAGTACCCCGCGGCGGAGGGGCGCCCCCCAGGGGCCTGAGCGGCGCTCGCTGAGCCCGCGGCCGCGCAGCCGCGTAGCCCCGTGCGCCCGCCGCACCTGCGCGCAGGTGGGCGGGGGAGCCGCGAGCCGCCAGCCGCCGGCCGCCAGGTGCGGGGGCCCGCCAGGTGCCGGGGCGGCCGCTGACCCGCGGAGCCCCTTCCACGCGGAAAGCCGCGCCAGCGGGCCTGGGTCACGGGCCTCGCCGTCGTAGCCCTCCCGTTGCTCGCTCGCCCCTGCGCCTGCTTTCGCCGCAGGAAATCCCGTAAATGCGCGTCCACCTCGCAGCACGTCCTGGTTCCGGGGACAGGGTGGCGAGGCTGGGCCGTAGGGAGCGGGGGAAGGGGCTCGGGTTCGGGGAGCCGAGGCCGCGGTTGCTGCGGCTGCTGAGGCTTCTGGGCGCAGGCTCGGGACGGAGGGCTCGGGACGGGGGGCTCGGGACGGAGGGCTCGGGACACAGGGCTCGGGACACAGGGCTCGGCACAGAGGGCTCGGGACACAGGGCTCGGGACACGGAGCTCGGGACACAGGGCTCGGGACACGGAGCTCGGGACACAGGGCTCGGGACACGGAGCTCGGGACACAGGGCTCGGCACAGAGGGCTCGGCACAGAGGGCTCGGGACGGAGGGCTCGGGACAGAGGGCTCGGGACACAGGGCTCGGGACACGGAGCTCGGGACACAGGGCTCGGCACAGAGGGCTCGGCCCAGAGGGCTCGGGACGGAGGGTTCGGCCCAGAGGGCTCGGGACGGAGGGCTCGGGACGGAGGGCTCGGCACAGAGGGCTCGGCACAGAGGGCTCGGGACAGAGGGCTCAGGACAGAGGGCTCGGCACAGAGGGCTCGGGACACGGGGCTCGGGACGGAGGGCTCGGCACAGAGGGCTCGGGACACAGGGCTCGGCACAGAGGGCTCCGCGGCCTCGGCCAGCTGTTGGACGCGAAGGGCAGAGTCTGAAAACCCAGAGTCCCTGCCAACTGCACGGAGGAAGGAGGAAGGGAGTGCAGTTGAGTTGGGAAGGCTGATTCTTTCCAAGTGTCATCCCCTGCTCCCCAGCCCTAGTTGTGTTAAAAGTGGCAGACTTGTGGAAAATGTAAACATCAAAACTAGTGTATCTTAAAAAAAAAAAAAAAAGTTTTCTAAAACTGCAGTCCATCCTTACCCTTAGATTTGGGCCTAGCAGGATTGCAGTGGAAATTTGACATCCTTAAAGCAATTCTACTAGACTAGCCTAATAATAGGAGGAGGAGGAGGTGGTTTGGGTACATAGTTGAAGAAATTGTGTTTTTTTAAATCATCGTACTCTTTATTTGTGAATTGTGGGATTGTTGGCCTATTTGTGTTAATAAACCTTAGTTTAGTCCAAAAGTAGAATTAGAAGTTTTTTTGCAACCTCACCGAGGGATGTCTTATTTAATTGTTTTTTTGTTTTATAATTGAAGAAGGAGATAAGGGCTTTAACCTGAAGCAGGAAGACTTTCAATTAGTTGTGGCTAATTCTGTTCAATTGCTTCTTAGGGAGGTCATGCTGCCTTATTCATGAAATGTGAATGGCTCTATTGACAACATATGGAACTGAACATTTGAATGACTGGAGGTGAACATGTATGAATAATAGAGAGATGAGAAAAAGAAAATGAATAGCTCTTCCTGGGGTGTGTTAGAAAGGCTTGACTCATTCACCAAATTTAGCTTATAGTCGTAGTTTTTCATTGTCAAGTAGCCTATCGGGTCACACCAGTGTGCAATATATGTTGTTGGTGTGAATTTGGATGTCTTTTTTTTTAAAAAAAAAACTATTGGTCGTGATTAGAAGCTGAATTAAACCAGAAGGGTTTTGAATACCTATTGAAATGTTGTCTTAAAAGTAGCTGACCTAATTAGGATTTTGTTTTGCAGATAATTTGGTGGCACACTAAAAACAAATTACAGTTTATTTGGTTAGCACAATCTTTAATTACATTTCCGCCAGCAGTAAATTGTCTCAATACAAGTCCACATTCCTTAAATATATGTGAAAATAAGTTCCACTTGTATAAATAAGCACTAAGTCTGTTGTCAGAAGCCCCACTGTGATCGCTCAGTGGACAGCTCTGTCATTCTTGTACTTGTGTGACTTTTAACCAACTTTGTAGTTGTCACCAAACCATGTGGTCTAAATTCTTTATTGTAAATGTTTCTTTTGTTTATGCCTAAAGCTCTAGAGGTCTCCTCTCTCCACCTTTGGAAGCAGAAAAACACATGGAATTGGGCTTTAACCTCTCTGTTACTTGGCGTTTGGAACAAGAGGCATATGATAGCTGTTTCTCGAATTTTACATAATTGTAAGAGTGTTGAAGTAGACAGTTTCAGAGTTCAGAAAGAAGTAGAAAATTACACATTGTCCTTTCCAGTATCTTAACTTTTTCTTAGGTAATTAAGATAGTAAACATTTGCCCTAGGACTAATTTATGAGAGCACCATTCAGGAGAACTTTATCTTTGGTGTCACTTTGTTGAATTTGCAAGTTAAGAAAAATCAATTAATATACTTCCTGTATGTATTTGTTCCCCAGCTTTCGTTGTAGTTTATGGCCTTAATCTCACATGTGAAAAACTGTAAAGTTTAAGCCGTAAAATAATAATAATATCGTTCTTTCAAAAAGTGACTTGTAATACTTTAATGAAAGTGGCTTTTGAAACAGTAACTAGTTGAAGCTCTGCTTAAGGCTGCCTTTAAAGGCAGACTTGCGTTTACATCTAGAATTTGTGCTTACAGAGTTCTGAACCCAGAGAGGAGTTGCTTGCTGGAATAGGTTACTTAGCCAAAAGAGGGAAAAGTTGCTCAATTGCCAGTGAGAGCTTAATGTATTAAAATCTCACTGGAATTTCAGAATTATTTATCTTATCACGTAGAAATGTTTGCATGTGAGCTGGGCTGAGGCGAAAGTCCGAAAGGTACTTTCTGCTGGTGTGGCTTCCTTAGTGTTCGCCTGTTATAAATTGTCTGGCCGGTACCAGAATTGGGGCTGGGGTGGGGGGTCATGGTCCTTATGGTTTTCACAGCTGTTTTTCTATATTTTCCAGACTAAAACTTGAACGTAGCAAGCTGATTTATGAGTCACTTTGGATCAGTGTCTTAAAACAGCTATAGCCTGGCTTTTTGTTTTTCAGCTTTCCAGATTTCTGCTGAATTAGCAGCTCTGCAGGCCCCAGTGGGATTGATTAAGAAGCTGTGCTGGATTTGCATTTTAAAATTTGACTTGGAAGTTAGATTTCCAAATGCTAAAAGGAACAAAGTGATGGCTGGAACCAAATGTTGTAAATTAATTTTTTTTCGTATATATTTATTCACTTGCTAATGTGCAGGAGAAAAGGCTTTTTTTCCTGCCATGTACAGTTTGATTTTCAAGCATTTGGCCAGCTGAGTTCTAGGTAAATAGTTAACACCTCCCTGCCTTACCACTTTTCCCGTTTATTAACCTCACCACACAGAGTTTTTTGAAAAGGTTTCCTGGGGAAGATGTTCATTAACGGACCTCTGAAAGTGAAGAATCTGCTTCTCTAACTGAATGTTCTCGTGGGTTTAAGAAAATATCGACATTGTACAACTTGTATTTGTTTTTAATGTGGTCTAGCCATACAAACAATATAGGGAAGATTTAGGAAAATGTGACATCCTTTAACTGGAAAGTAATCATTTCTGAAACATAAACTGTATTAAATCTAAATTTAGACACATTAAAAGTTTCATGGCTTAAGTATTTAGCAGTAAAAGTCACTTAAGAGGTGATTTTTTTTTTCTCCCACATATAATGTGGTTTTAATAGTACACAAAACTCAGGAATGGAAGTGTGTTGCAATAACTAAAATATTTAGGGTTGCCAGCTCCTGCTTCTGGATCAGAAACGACTGGTCCCCAGCATGTGCACACTTCTCAGAAGGCAGTTTCTCATTTTAAAGGTCTTTTGTTGGAGATCTCGTCCCATTACTGGCTGGAAAAAAAGTTAAAACCCTCTCTTTTCTCATAGGATTGCCCTATGAAATAATCCTTAAAATGAAGTGTGGTTTTCGTTTTTTTTTTTTTTTTTCTAATTAAAAAGAAAACCACCTGTATATAAATGTAAATGCCAGATTGGCTCCCCTTTTCCTTTTAAAAACTGAAACAATAGGGGATGCAGTTTTATGCTGGTTCAATGTTCTTTAGTTAAGTGGATCCAAATGAGACTTTCTGTTGATTCAGGCTACCTCCCAGGTGAAGGACTCTTTTCGCTGGTTGTTTTTGAAACCCTGTGGGAAATCTGTGACTGTCTGTGGTGCTAAAAGCACACAGGTTTTGTTTGAATCCTAACATGAGTTGTTGGGCTCACGGGTTCCTTGATGAACTCCAGACGGACGTGAGCTGGGCTGTGAGGGAAAGTGTCTGGCTCCAGCGTGGTGAGCATGCACAGCAGTGGTTGTAATTGCAGGATTTTTATAGTTTAAAGACTGTGCCAGATTTTTTTCATGTTATAACTCTACCAGAACAAATCTACTCATGTCTGTTACTGTCTGGTAGGTCTTTAGGCAAACATGTTTCAAATAAAACCTTTGCAGATTTTATTTTATTTTATTTTATTTTTAGGTGCACTAGAGAAATCCAGGTTTAATTCTCAAAACAAAAATGCAGAGACTTGATTTCCAGTTGTTGACTTCGTAGCCATGTGCAAAGTCACACTGGTTCTCTGGGTGTGATTTTTCTGCCTCTCATTTCTGGTTCATGCTTTGTGCCAATCCAGCTTGGTTAACTGAAACACTGGTTAGCTGAAACACTGGTTAGCTGAAAGTCTTCATTTTTGAGGGCTGAAAGAACTCATTTGGTAAGGGTTGGTAAACCCCTCTCTGGGGGAGAGCTTTTCAGCCGTGCTGTTTGTAAGTCTGGTTTTCAGTAGCTGTTCCAGCAATTTCACTTTCAGTCCACCCACCGCATGGCAGGCACACACTCAGTGTGTCAGCACGCAAAGGGACGTGAGCAAATATTTACCGGGCTCTCCTTAGTATTGTTGGGTCTTAAAAGCCAAGATGATGGCCTAGTCTAGAATGTTGCATGTGTAGGAGTTTTGTTTTGCTTTGTAAAAAAAAAAAATAATAATAATAATAATAATAGTAATAATAATAACCATGTCTATGGAAATTGTTACTAAGTTAGGCCGAAGTCTCTAAAGTCTCTAAGAAGCAGGTTTATGTAATGATTGAAAAGAAATCTGATCATGGGTTCCTATATAGCCTACTTTGTAGGTGGTTTATGTGGTTTAAATTATACATTATGTTATCAAATACTGAGATTTGGGGAATTCAGAAAAGCAGAATTCAGATGGTTTTTTCGACTCCCAACATATACACACAAGTGATACCTCAAATAATTTGGTGCCTAAACCCAGAGAAACAAATACGTATGAAAAGCCATTTATTTCTGTTTTGTTCACTTGTAATAAGAACTCCGATGTTTAATTTTATGGTAATAATAAAAAGGTTTCTTTAGAGTTTTGAGTTTCAGCAGCCCGCCTAATTAGCCACTTTTCATAGGCCATGACTTCACCATATCAGGTTGGAAGTGAGGAGATGGTAGGGGATTGGGAGGGTGAAGCAAAACAACCAGTTCACAAAAGATCTGTTCACCCTGTGCCAAAAACCATCTCCTAAAAATCTGTGGGCTTAAAGCACTTGAATCTGCCAGTCTCCTAAGCTAATTTTGTCCTCAGAATTTGTATTTTTGATTTTGGCAGTTTGGTTGCCATCTAGTTTGGGGGTAGGATAAACCAATTATTTCCTACATTGTCACTAGTGTTGATAGAGGTATCTCATAAATCCATTCTGTCTTGCACATCGTTAAGCACTAGTAGTGACCTTTTGAAACTTTACTTTTGTTTCCTCGTAGGGACTTGAGTCACAACAGATTGTCTTTCATCAAGGCAAATTCCATGAGCCACCTTCAAAACCTTCGAGAAGTGTGAGTCTTACTTCTATTTGAGGTTTGAATAAAAAAAAAATATGCTACTCAACTGTGAAGAACATTTGGATCACAATAAGTTATTTAAGACTTTTAGGTATCTTTAACCTTATAAAGTTTTCACACCTCTGAATTACAGATGATCTAATCAGCTTTTCTTTTTTTTTTTCTTTTGGCTCTTAAAGGAAACTGAACAACAATGAATTGGAGACCATTCCAAATCTAGGACCAGTCTCAGCAAATATTACGCTTCTCTCCTTGTAAGTGAATGTTAGCAGGATTTTGCACATATGTTTGGGTAACAGGGACCGTGGGTAACAGTTCCATATGGGCTAGAATAAAGGTCTTAGAAGCAAAATATGAATATTTCCTCCTGTAGATAATGGAGAAGTGTTTTTTTAAATTGGTCGACTTGTTTTTCAGCCTCTTTCTTTCCTAGATCTTAAGTATCATTGTAACAACACACTCTCCATGTCGCTGTCATTGCTAAGCTGGTGTCCCAGATTCAGAGAAGCTGCCTTCATCTCCTAGAGATGTGTGTTTGATTATGCCCTGCAGACTAGCACTAATTCTGGTGTTACTCAGTGGTTGGCCTGGGATCTGTGTGTTAGGTATTACATAGTTCCTAGTGGGGGGTGATTGGAGTTGTTAGAGGAAGTGGGAGTTGATAATAAGGCATTGGGAGTATTTTAATTGTGGTACTTGTACACATCGAGGTTCAGAAACATCAGACCAAAATATCAACGTCATACAGTTAAATACGTGACTGAAGTTATAAATACCATTCCATGTTTTGCAAAGATGGGTTTTGAAATAAAATAGTGCTAAATTTTCTGTATTTTTAGGACAGATAACATGTTTATTTTCACACCTTGGAGATGTTTTGGAATGATTCTCACTTTCAGCACTTCAGGGTAGTGTTTGGAATGTGCAGTATTTGATTTCCTAAAATCTAAGTAGCTTACCACCTTGAATCTTGAACAATTTTAAAATGTATTTGAGGCACTGAGGTTAAAATGTTTTTCCTTCCCCAAACAAGTTAAGAAAAGCCCACCATTGTTGGTTGCTTCTGGGAAAGGTGTCGTGAGGGTTAAAATTATACAGTAAATTTCAGGAAAGCTGTTCAATTAATTAAAGTGATCACTACCCAATTGCTTACATCTGGTGATTTATAGAGGTTGGTTTTTACTGAGGGCCCAGGTCACCTAAGTCACGGGTGCAGCCGCTGTGTCTGCTTTCCTCTGTTTGAATAAGAACTAAGTGACATTTGATACTGATGTGGTTTTTCCAAAGATCAGAAACAGAAAAGAATGAAAGAAAAAGGAGTTGGTATTTGACAAATAAACACTGAATTTAAAAAACATTTTTATACTAGCGTTAATACCTGTTTTATTTATTTATTTTTTTTGTCGTTCACAATTGCTTAAGAATTTAAAGTCTAAGTGGAGTACTGATTTTGTATCTTAAACAACTGAAGCTATTTTCATTTGATCCATGGGATCTTTCTAGATCCCAGGGAGCTCTGCCTCCCCCTGCTGTTCCTGCACCATGTGTTGGCAGATTTCTGTCCACATGTTCAAGAGAGTCTTAAGTAGAGGGTCATGGCGTGCTTCATGGCTGAGAGGGTCCACAGTGGAGTTTTGGAATCTGGATAGGGTGGAGAAAACAGGCTTCCTCTGGGCTTAGCACAGAGTTGAAATACCAGGAACTCATAAGGAAATTAGAAACTTCTATTGGAAATAAAAGACCGACTGATTTTACACTTCCAGGATTTCATTTATAATTAAAAAACTTAAATGCAGTCTGTAAAGATAGAAACCTTCAAAATTTGAACGTTTCTCCCTGTTTTCATTTGTTTCACTTTAGTGAGTGCTGAATAATCTTTACCGACCTTGAATAATCTCACTTTTTTTCTCCTTAATTTGTTGCATTGCATCTGACCAGGGATTATTCTGTTCATTTTATATAATGATAGATCCTGTTTGTACCTACATTACATAGCATCTGCAGAGGGTTATTTCAAGGGTGATGGGACTGCCAATTCAGTAGGGGTAGTGAAAAATTGTCTTCAGATCTATGAAATGTATTGAAAAATATATTTCTCTGATTGTTTTCTTCTACAAATGTAGTGTTTTCTCCCATAGGCCTCTTTGGATATTGCAGTACGCAATCATTATTTCTAAAGCACCATTAATTTCTGTCTTGTATACATTTTCTTTTACGCAGAAGCACTTGAACATTAGAGCTAAAAGTCAGTACTGATATTTCTGAAATTTCAAAAGAAATTGTTAGAAACTTGCTCTGGCACCACACTTAAAACACCATATCTTTCCAAGTAGGTCTCGGGACTATTTGAATTTTATTTGATCAAGATTTTTTTTTTTTTTTTTGACATTTTGTGGAAGAAAACAGATTTGGGGGGGGTGTCATTTGCGTTGGAGTCTAGAGCAAAAGATTAAATGTTTGTGCTCCATCCTGTCGCTGCTCTGCAGTGGTGACCATTCCCAGCTGGAGGGAGAGAAGACTACCTGGTGAGACCTTCTTTCATTTTCAGAAGCAAATGGCACCCCATGTCCAAGATGAACATCTGGTAATGTCAGGGAAGCCTTGTAAAATACCAGAGTCTTGGGATGCTGAGCACTGAACTCCCCCATTAACAAAGCTCATCTCCAGCCTCCTTAGGGGTCAGTCAGAATGCAAAAAAACCTGAATAGACTTGTTTTCCTTTGAATCCCACCCAACATGAGCTGAGGAGTCAACTGACATGCTAGGGGTAGGATGTAGTTTATAGGTTTTGCTTTGTTTTTTTTTTTTTTTTTTTTCTCTCGTAGCCTGGGCAGGATGCTATATTTTAAGGGAAGAAATGCAATAATATTTGGAATGAACATATAATACTGTTGACATGTCATAAGTAAGTTGGTTTTACCATATGTGGTAGTTCCAGCTTCCATGAGGTGGATGGAATGGAATGCTCAAGCATTGGATATTTTTGAAAACTGTGACTTGGGGCACCAGGGTGGCTCAGCAGTTGAACGTCTGTCTGCCTTTGACTCAGGGTGTGATCCCAGGGTCCTGGGATCGAGTCCCGCATCGGGCTCCCTGCATAGAGTCTGCTTCTCCCTCTGCCTGTGTCTGTGCCCCTCTCTCTGTGTCTCTCATGAATAAATTAATAAAACCTTAAAAAGAGAGAACTGTGACTTGAGTTAGGGCAAGTTTGAATCCACGAGTCATATAACATTATTTTTGAACGAAGGAGTTCTCATTGGTCATTAGATAGCGCTGACTCGGTCTTAGTCTTGATGGTTTCTATAATATTACCCAACATATAAGTACTTGCCTATATGTTAGCATTGAAAAGATGTGGGTCCCTGAATGTCAGAGGAGTACCCAGATTACTTGTTAAAAAATGTAGGTTTCCTGACCCTATCCCTAGAGATTCTGAATTAATGGGATTGGGTGGGGCCCAGGATATCCATTTTAACACATCTGCCTTACTGGTTCTTTTTAGTTATCACATAAATATTTCTGGAACTACTGATAGACTCCAGTTTGTTATAATCAAATAAGCCTCTTCTCATTATTTATCTCAAAGGTAGAACATTTCTCCCAAGTCCAATCGTGTTCTTCATAGTCTTTAATTTTTTCTGGAAATGGCAATGTCATCCTTCCAGAGGAGTTATTATAAATGTTAACCACTTTGCCGATGCGTCCCCAAAATGTGTGCTCTGCCAATGGACAGCCAGTGAAGAGATTTAAAGCAGAGTGAGGTGATCAGTTTTGCTACTTGAAAGTGTTATTCTGGCTTCAGTGGAGGATGTCCTGGCGGTGGCCGGAGGGTGCTGTAGAGGGCAGATGACCGGGGGGGTGGGGGGGGGACTGCAGTAGCCCAGGAGTGACGACAGCGCTGCGTCACGGCAGCAGAATGGTGACTAAAGCAAAGCTCAGGTTGGATGGCTTGGAGTTGCCTGCTGGCCCTTCCCTCTGCTGGGTTGAGATCTTGGGCAAGTTTCCGTCCGTCTGTGTTTCCTCATCGACAAACTGAGAAGCATAACAGTACCTACCTCAGGGTGGTGTTGGGAGGATTTGGAAGGAGAATACAGATAAAACCATCTGGCGTGTGCTGGGTATTCAGCAGACGTGAGCTGTGACCATGAGGAGGATGATCATGCACTCAAGGGAAACTCATCGAACAAAATAAGCGGTGCCAGGCTCTGTTTCCAGGGCTGAGGACACAGCAGGGAACAAAGCCGACAACCCACTGCTACCAAGTCTCCAGTCTAGTGAGGAGTCAAGGAACAATAGGTAACTTTTTTTTTTTTTCATAGAAAGATTATTTCACTTTCTTGGTAAATTCTCTCAAGGAAACAAGGAGGACAAGAAGAGCTCTGGTGGTTGCCCTTCACCGTGGTCCGAGACAGCATCTTTCTGAGTATTTACCAAATCCTACTCTGTGCTGGCTGCTGATTGAAGGTGGAGATTCAGCAGTGAACAGACAGACGAAATCCCTGCCCTCACAGAGCTGCCTTCTTGTGGGACGAAAAAGACCAAAAGCAAAATAAATAAGAGATGTGGTCTGAAGGTGGTGAGTGCTAGGGAGGAAAAAGCAGAGGGGGAGGCATAGGAGTGTGTATGGCTGAAAAGAGGGTTTAGGGTTCTAAGTGGGGTTGCAGGGAGGGGCTTGCTAGGAAAGTGACACCGGAATTAGGAAAGGGGCAGGGAAGGGTCGCGTGCAACCTCCTGGGGGTGGCGGTGGTCTCCTTCAGCCTCCCCTACCCTGTCCAGGCCCATCTGGGACCATATACATCCAGCTCTTCACATGGTAATGAAATGGTTTATATTTTTCTCCCCTGCTATACTGGGGGGCTTGTGGCTGACTCTTGTTTTCCCCAGCGCTTCATGCAGGTGGATGGCATATAGTGGGTGCTAGGAATAACAATTAAGGCATATTTATGGAAAGCCACGTGCACTTAGCATTATTCAGGCAAATCTCCTATTAAGTTAGTCTATGCTAGTGGCTAAAAATTTACAGTGGGGACAAAGCATGCCTGTGTTTTACTTAACTCGTGTTCTACTATGCATGCTTGGTAAATAATAGCAATGGATTGTAACAACGGCAACGATAATAGGTAAAAGAAAGAAGCGGTGTAAGTAGGGAAAGGGTCCAGCTCCCCCCTCTCACCAGCGGGCACGTGGCCTGCAGTGTGTAGGGAACTAAAAGTCCCCTTTTGTATTCGCCTGTTTCATTTTGCGTGTCTCAGCC